TCTCACCCCGTCTAGTAGATTAGCCATTTGCACCATCTCCTCTCTCACCGCTGTTGCATTGTTTTTCTTAAAAGTATACTGTCAACACAATTAACGTAACAACAATAAAATTAATTTGTATTTAATGGCGTTTATATTAACATGCTGCCCAATAACTTTGGCACTATATTTTATAATATAAGCACTCCAGATTTTGTGGGAAAAGTTATTTTAAAAACTATTATATCCCTGGTGACACCAGGAGTAATATGTTCATTTACTGCACCAGTTTACAAAAGCCTAGTCATTATTTCCATATCAGTGAGTTCATAGACACATATATATCTATCTACATATATATTTACACACTCACCCTGAGATTATCCACAACCAGCACCAACTCCACATAACTGGTCTGTGGTAAATTGCGTTTTCTCTGTTAAAGCAACAAACCCCCCCAATGATTTTCATGTTATATAACCTTTTAACACTGCAAATATATGTTGAAGTAACAAATGAGCATTTAACCCGCAGCAGAGAAGTCAGGGATTGGCCAGGCTCAAAGGGTTCGTGGCTCGGCACTGAAGTAGCCTCAGTAACGACTCCACAGGTGATGGGCTCGGTCTGAACGTCCTCCAAAAGGTAGAGAAGGTGGTCATTGGTGGTGGACTGTGACACAGGCTCCAGGCCAAAGGCCTTATTTTCAAAGAAGATCACACCCCTACAGAAAAGCATTCCAGACATTCTAAGTGACAAATGCTCTAACTCTATTCAGAGGCTTGGCATGGCAATCCTGTAGCAGGTACTATGAGCTCAGGAAACTTAGATACTATTCCTGAAAAAGCTTAAAGCAAATCATTGGCACTTATCGAGAACATTTCCCAAAAACCAGAATAACTGGAAACTAATTTGAATTGTTTTAAATAGGGATGGTCAAACCTGAGACCAGAGCACATGCTCAGCGCTACCATTGAATCCTTATAGCCTTCCACCTCCCCGTGGTAATAACAATGTACCTGAAAAAACAAAATGAAAACCGGTTTTAGAGTTAATGCTCAAAACCAGCCTTATAACTTAAGGTGTGTTTCAACGTACATGTTGTTTCGGATACGATGTGTCGTAGTTCCCGGCAGCGTCACGTGAATATTGAACAAAATTTGGGTGTAAGAAGTCTCTGAAAAGAAAAGATGTACATATATATATATATATATTTGTCTGCAGCATTAATATAAGCTTATAATGTCACTACAACCAAATTCACATACCTGTTCTTTCTTAGATGAATGACATGCTTTTGGTTGTTTATGTTGACTGCATATGACACTGTCTCATCTCCATATTTCTTAATAAGGAAAAAACAATTAAAAAAAAAAGTTCATATTAAACCATCAGCTGAAAAGATAATTCAGTCAGGTATCAGGTACTCACATCTTTTAAATGATGTTGTCTGTTGATGCTCCTAGACCCTCTATGAATCACTTGAGGATTTACAATGGAATACTTGGAAAGCTTTGATGTAAACCCCTGGAAAGCATCTGGAATGTAAATTCAACAAGATACTATAAAAAATAGAGAAGTCACTCCATGATTACATAATGCTAGTCTTCAGGAAAAGAGACATTACAGAATACACCCAAATTAAAATGACCAGAGCAACATTTAAGCTTATTTCGCTGTACTTTCAGGAGCTAAATATGTCCTGATTAACCACACACAGCTTTTTTTCTGGACTCTTCCCTCCCTTGTTTTAAGAATGAAAAATTCCAAGTTTTCGTTGTATGTCCTTTAACATCGACAGCCTACGCATTTAGCCAAGCTCAGAGGAGTCTTACCTTTGTTATCGATCCCAGAAATAAAGGAAAAAACAAAAACAGTTATTAGGATGCGATTTTTGATGATCATTTTTGAAGTCTGTAGATTGCGTCCCCGTTGGGCCCACAGAGTGCCTGCGTTGTGTCTTTGCTTCCTGCTCCTTGTCAGGTGGCTAACGATGGGTGTGGCTTTGGACAGGTGAGAGCCTTAGAAAACCAGACTTTGTTGCAGTGACCATTCAAAGCGATTTGTCAGAGGATTTTTATATGAGAAGTTTTAAGCGTTAAAGGTTATATTTCAGTCCTACCTTACAACTTTGTCCCAAATAACTTTTCTACCAAGAGACGCCTCCGTTTGTTTGTGTTGTTAATATAAAGATTGCAACAATACTTGCTGAGTGGATATTTTCGGTATATATTACGTCACGGTTAAGATCTCGGAGGCTATTTGGAAGTCAGAAATTCGAGGAGCTTATGGATAAACCAACTATAGCATACTAGTCTAGTGATGACATGGTTTATGGTACCAAACCGAAGTATAGGCTACACGACGGAAATTATCATTACGTTCTTTATTTAAACAGGTTGTATCACTGATATCAAGATTTATTTTCCCCAAGAAATACCTGTGTACAAAAGACATTTACAGTCTACGTTCAAAAAGTAAGCAGACAAACACATGTGGTAAAGCACCTTATTCACGTTTACAAACTAGAAGGCATGAAAAAAAAAGTAACTGCAAATGGATGTAATCTTTTTGAAAAAATGTTTTTGTTTTTTTTTAACACAACCAGAATTTAGCTTCATGGTTTTTTTTATGAATTCATTTATATTTTATTTTTGATGGCTCATTTCATTGGTCAAATCCATTCTTACCAAGTTCAGTGTGACAAGAAGTGCAGCTAAAATGAGCTGTAATTAAATACATTCCTGTCTCATTATCTTTGATCAGAATCAGGTGTTTCTCATTATCCTGCTTTGTCCACTTCCACTGATCACTTTGTATGTATTTAAGCCCACTTCTTGCTTTAGATTTTTGTTACATTATACTACTTTTGGCTACTTGAGCTGCCTCTGGTTGAATTTCTGGATTCTGTTTGTATAATGGCCTTTTGGATCTTTTGCTTCACCTTAATAAAGTACTTTTCAGTGTACTTTGAGTCTACTTTCCAGACAACACCCAGCCAAAGGTACACCTATTTATAGCAACCAAGCATTCAAGTTTCGTCACCATGAAAAGTTGTACTATGCACCATTGGCTGCAAACTGGCTGTCTTTCAAAAGCAGACTTGGGATTTACAATGGCCAAATCAAAACAAGATCCTTTGTGAACTGCATGAAAATATACATTACAATAATGACAGAAATAATAATAGTTACTTACACAGAATTTCAAGTTCAAAAAGCTGACCTGATAAACTCTATTCTCAACTTCAGAAGAAGGTAGGTGCTAAATGGGTGCAAGGCAGGGAAAAGGTGACAATAAGGAGCAAAGGGTCTGATAGATCCAGTGAAATGTCTCTCTGCCTTGACTTTGGAGGCTGTCAATGCAGTGCAAGTGCAGAAAAGTATGCTTAAGGTTTAGAAGACGGATAAGTAATTAGAAGTCAATGTTTCAAAGTATTGAGAAAAATTAAAGTAATTGTTCAGTTTGTTTGTGTCAGAGCTATTAACCATTTCTAAACGATCACGTAAACTCTATACCTTCACATTGCAATTCAAAACCATTTAAGAAGATTAGGGCACCCACACCAGAACTGATAGCTTTTCTGCATTCCAACATTCCAGTTCTCCATACCAAACACTGACATTTAATTCAAGTAAAACCAGTTAGGCAGATCAGCTTGTGTATCTCCCTTTGAGGTAGATGTGAAATCAGTGAACATAAAGATATTATTGAAAGATACATTAAAAATATGAGTTTACTTTTAATTTAGTCAACTTCCTTTGCCCCTGCACTGATTACATTTTAAGCAAAAGCATAATTTCTTCCTTAAATAACAACAAAAAAGGCAGTGTTTCCTTTCTCTGTCGAGATGTTTAAGATATTTACAGTGTGTCTCAAAATGTAGAGCGACACCAGAACGAGAAAGACCAGAGGATGAACCACCAACAGGAAGAAGACCAGGAGGCTGTTCCTGAAAGAGCAGTCTGTGGTAGAGAAAGTCTTGTTACTTAATGCATTAGCAACGTATATCAACAACTTTTTGTTTTCTCATGTTTTTAAATCAGATTACCAAAAATCAGTGACTTTTAATAAATAGTAACAAGTAATAGTATCAGTATAGTATATAGTATAGTATAATACTTCGTACAAAAGCCTTTGTTGGTGATGACAGCTTGAAGACACGTCCTGTATGGGGAAACTAGTCACATGCATTGCTCAGGTGTGATTTTGGCCCATTCTTCCACACAAACAGTCTTCAGACCCACAGGGCTTTTCTGTGTGCACCTTCCATAAACTCTGACCTTTAGTTCTTTTCATAAACTGGATTCAGGTCAGGTGACTGGCTGGGCCATTCTAGCACCTTAGTTTTCTTTCTCTGAAACCAGTTGACTTTCCTTAGCTGAGTGTTTTGAATCATTATCTTGCTGAAACGTCCAGCCTCGTTTTGTCGTCATCATCCTGGTAGATGGCAGCCGATTTTTATTCAAGAATGTTTCTGGACATTTTTTCATCCTTCCTTTAATTATATAAAGCGTACCGGTGCCGTATACGGAAAAGCAAACCATAATGTTTCCACCTTCAAACTTGACTGTTGCTATGGTGCTTTTGGACTGAAATGCAGTGCCTTTTCACATCCAAACATGGTGTGCATTATGTTATCCAAAGAGTTCAATTTAAACCTTAAACTTCAACACTTCACTTCAATATGCTTTTTCTTCAGCAATGGAGTCTTGTGTGGTAAACGTGCATAAAGACCGTGGTGGTTAAATGCATTACTTACTGTTATCTTTGAAAAAAATTGTATCAACTAACTACAGGTCCTTCTGTAGCTCTCCACAAGTGTACAATTGCTCCTGGACAAATCTTCTAATAATTCTTTTCCCTCCTCTGTCTGAAATCTTGCGGGGAGTATCGGGTTGTGGTCAGTTTATGGAGAAACTAGATACCTTCCACCTCTGGATTGTGGCCCCAACAGTGTTCACTTTCTGATTTCAGCAGGTGTCCTCTCCCTCATTGCCTTTTGGCACCTCCCTTTCTTCAAGTGTATTGTGTTCGATATATTTTCCCTGTGACATTTCTCACTGCTATACATAATTTAAGGACATCAATGGTTTGATTTCTTAGCAAGTATGGATTGGATGAGTTTTTGCCAACAGGTGGTGAGAATTTAATATCAGCTTTAGATATATATTTACCTTGAAAACCAGTGACGTGTTCAATACTTATTTTACCTGCTGTATGCTATACATCTTTTTATTAATATGAAAATTACAAGGTATATAATAACACACAGAAAGATCCTTCAGGTGGGAGTGGTGGTGGCCTTTGACAATACGCTACACTTATTTAAATTTTCATGAATCATGCTGGTGTGATAATGGTATCAGTTTCTGTGTGTCAGCTGGTGTTAGAAGTTAACAGAGATGAACTAACCACATTGATTCCTCCAGAACTTGAGGCAGAGCAGACTGTG